TTTTTTTTTACATCTCCATTGTAATCTCCGTGGGTTTCCCATCACCGAGTGGGCCCTGAAATTTTAACTACTGAATTTATCTGCCACATTCGATTACTGGCAAAATGCAGCAGAGATGATGAATTGCCAAGGGTAAAAGAGGCATACTGTCATTTGTCAAGCAGTTAATAACACCACGCTTTCTTTTACAAACACTGCCTATTTGTATTGCTACACACATGCACTGTGAACAATAGCACTTCTTATCATGGCCCTGTTGGCACAGTATTTACCCCAGATCCACAGAAGCGACCAAGTGCCACTGCTGTTGAATCGAGACCATCGAAGAGCTCCACGTAGTCATAGCCGCAGTCAGCTTCTTCTTCTACTTCAAATATCTGGAAGGACAACTCGAGCCGAGAGCCCCGTTCTGACACCAGTAGCCACTCACAGTCGACCTGCCCTGGGTAGTTGTTGTCACCAAACTGAGCGTGTGAGTACAGGTCTCTGGGTTTCTGCTCAGCCTTCATCCTGCCACCACACTCTGTCCAAGAAAGAAAACGTAAAAGTAAGTTCAGTAAGCTTAAAGTAAGTCCGGTTTCAATTTCTGAGCAGGACAGTCATTCTCTAGCTAGTCATGCTCTAACTGTGTACTCACTTTCATCAGTAGAAGTGTTTCTCATAACAAGACACTGTGACGGACAGTATTACTTAAGTAGAAATAGTGAACTAATTTGATTAGGAAACTCTACCTCCTTAATTAGTTACCTTTATAGCTCTACTACCCATCTGACTATATTTTTGTGTTTGCTGTAAATAAAAAAATTACATGTCATTTGTTTCGCTTCTTTTTCAGAGAAATATGAATATATATCTCATCAGTTATTTCTTTTGTCACTAGAGGTGACTACAGCCAGGAAATAGTTATGCATAAAAACCTACCAGTCGTATAGTCTAGAGAATACAAGTTTTCTAAAACTTTTTCTCAACAATGCTTTGTATTCAGAATTCCCCAAATTTATAATAAACAGAGATGAAATAGGGGGAGAATAAGTTAACAATGCCCTCCCACCAATGTACAAGCAAATATATGTCTGGGGTGTAATGGATCTTTAAAAGTATTAGGAAAAAGGCCCTCCCTGGTGGCGTAGCGGGTTAAAGCACAGCACTGAGAATCTGAAGCCACTTCCGCATGAGTTCGATTCCCGCCTGCCGCCTGCCCCGGAGGAGACCACATGGCGAGCCAGACCTCTCCTGACCTACTCGCTGCTTCCCTTAGCAGTGTACTTCGTCATCTGCCTGTTCTGCTCCCCACTCTGTCTCTGGTGAAGCCTCTCACCGCCCCTGAACCTCTGGCTGTACCCCAGTTCTGTATGCACAAATAAATAAATAAATCTTTAAAAAAAAGTATTAGGAAAAAATAGACATTCTTTCTGTTGCTGTGAACCACTAAGGGCATCCTGGGAAGCAGTTAACTTTGGTGCTAAGCCTAGAAAATCTGAGATGATCTGGGAAATGGCAGAAACAAAAAGCAAATATGGATAGATCTCAACAGAAATTACATCATTGGCTTTCAGAACCCAACTGTAATTCGCTCAGGTCATCTGAGGCCCTTGGTGACATCCTGTGAAGATGGCTTGTTAGGCAGCTAAAATTCTTACTTGGATTTCTTAGATTTGTATATGTTGTGGATTGGTGATTTTTCAACCATAAAGCCTGAATGCCCATTCAGATGGGAAAGGAACCCCATTCAGATGTGTCTGAATACAGTTAGACTCAACCAAACTCATGCTATCGTTCCTTGTCCAGAGACCTTTCTGTGAATAACATAAATAACTTCCAGCCAGGGTTTAACCAGGAAATGGCTCCATCCAAGGCTGTGCTATGTGGTGAACCTCCATGCCCTTCTGTCCTCCTGGTGGCAGTGGGCATCATACAGCAGCTATTGATGACGTAAGTACCACTATTACAAGTGAAAGATGTGAAGAGACACCTGTGCTTAGAGCCACTTTGAAGACTAGATTCCAGTCAGCCCCAGAGGCTGGCTCTTGAGTCCCAGAGTCTAGTAGCCAAACGTCACTCTAGAACTTTTATCTCTCCTTGTGAAGAACACCAGAGCCCAAAGAGAAGCTTTGCTTTTCATCAACTGTGGGTCTTTTTGTCCTGACTTCATTACTAAATTGGGGCTGACATAAAGTACTCAGATCATGGGGTATAGACAAGGCGTGAACAGAGTCTAGATGAAGAATTAAAATGCGTGAACTATGCTTGGCACAGGGAGAGAAGCCGCGCAAGCATAAGCTGTGAGTCCTGCGAGTCTCCAGAATACCTAAGTGCCATCAGCAATGCTTCCACGGAGGTATGAGAGGAAAAG